CAAATTCCAGCATCCAATAGCAAGAGTCTGTTTCCATTCGAGCAGTGTCTAGCTCGCATGCTATTAACCCGCATGCGGAGCATGTCGGTTCCCACTGAAGCTGTAATACTGTAAGTAGACACTTTGCATGAAGGTTCTTGGGGAATCGGAATTCAGGCGGCTATCCAATAGTCGTTTGGATTGTTTGTTGTCTACCCGAGAAGCCTGGCTCAAGAGCTTAAATACAGGGCAGCGGTAGCAAACAAGCAAGCTTATTAAATAGCGGTTCACAGTCGCCATGCCACAGTGCCGTTGTTGGGATTTGCGGCATTTTATAAGGCAGTCGGCGCGCGGGACCTCAGTTCTCCGGGCTCTGGTAACAGTGTCGCTGCTGGTCCGCGAATACTTTTTCGCCAGACCCAGGGGCCTGTTTATTTTGCAGTTGGCCTTTGCTGTAGGTTGCTCCACTCTCCGCCACCTGTAGACAAGCACGGTGGCCAGCATTTGATTTAACGTGTATGCGTCTTCCGGAAAAGTCATCAAGTTGGTGCTAGGGTAAGCCACATCGGCGCTCCCGATGTTTGTGAGTAAAAATCTGCAACTAATGGAATCAGTTGTCAAAAATGTTGAAGCTCGCCTCGTTGAGACCTCATCCATCGCCAGTGCCAGACTTTTAGAGAACTCTGATCCCTGTAAATGAAAAAGATGTATTCATTGGAGTAGTTAAAGCATGTTAGTTCTGCGTAAGCGCTCGAATATTCGATCAGTTCTGTCAGAACTGGATCATCGCCAGTTAGCGGGCGGACTTAGCAACAGTCTATTATGGGTAGCACCACGAAAGCAAAAGAACCCCGGATTCTGTGATACGGAACCGGTGGTATAATGTGTTATACGAGTGGAGCATTCAGGGGTCGCAGGAAGGAAAATAAATGAAATCAAACGAAACAGAAAATAGTAGAACAATTTATTATACAGAGTATATAGGGTCGAAAAGGCGCGCAGTAATTTAAAAATAAGTGAAGACAAACATAGTAAATTTATTAATCAAACATAAAAATAAATTATCCTCACCACCGGTCCCGTATTATGGAATTCTGCAATTTTGGTTTCTGTGGTGAAACCTATCATAGACTTAGTGAGGATATAAATCTGAGCGAAGGTTTTTAGAAAATGGAGCTTGTTAGGATGCAACCTTTTAAACACGCCGTGCTTGAATTCAGCTACGTTGCTTTGACAACAACGGACGGTATGTCGTGAAACAATATATCGAATGTAGATTTACTTTGGCCACCGAACTTTTCGATTACGCCTCACGTGACTTATCAAGTACATCTTTTCTGTTGTCTTATGGGGCAGTTAGTTGATCGCTTTGCATGTGAAAAACACTGAAGCATCATTGATGCATAATGACGCAAATTTCAACGGTTAATTTCATGGATACTCATGAATTATCCTATTACATCGTTTACTCGAGCCTTCGTTTTCTTCAATAAAGGCTCTCAGTCGATTAGCATCCTCAATTGTAGTTAGATTAGGCAGAGGAAAGGACGAAGTAATATATGTCGCCTTCCGCAAGGTCTTATTACATTTGTCTTTTTTGTCCCTTCTAGGATGAAGCGCTTTTGTGGGCAGAGAAAAATATACCACCGACTACCACCAGCGAGTAAGTATGGGGCATCTTTTTTACCGCCTGTCATAGTGATTAAACCTTTTTCGATTTTTGATATGTTGCAAAGAGGTTCTTGTCATGCAACTCTGATTATTATCTAAGCATCAAAAGATAAATTGGCAAGTATGCGTCTGCTTTCGATAAATTCTCTTCAGGCCTGTACATTTATACGGTAATTAACTAAATAAACTATGCGGGCTGATAGAAAAAGTAGTGCGGTTGTCAGGGCTTGGAGGACCGGCAGCTAACTCGATACGCCGGTGGATACATGAATCATCGGAGTGCATGGCCTCAAAAAATTCTCGGCCTTTTTTTGGAGGGGCAAACTCCGACGATGCGTGTTTTGTCGCATGCAAAGGATGTTCTGTGTCAAGGCAGTGCATAGCCACTTTGGACAAATGGTCACGTCTCTTAACTGCCAATCCACGAGCATCAATTGGCAGTGAAGAGACGTAACCATTTGTCTGAAGTGGCTATACATTGCCTTG